ATTGCTGTGTTTGCGTGTGTAATATAGTTCATAAAGGATACAATAATGATATTATTATGGACGTTCGTCGTTCGGCGTCCATATATTCCATTAATGTAATATATTACACTTAACGGTTCTGGGTACAATAACTTCGTTGGAAGAATATAAATAATTTAAATTCATTTTAAAACGAAATTAATATAATTATTATTATAACAGACAAGATTCGAGGTTGATATATTATATTTGTTTAATAATTGTACCTACCTCGTACATCGCAGTATAAATGCAACTCACTCGCTCGACAAATTTAACCGAGTCTCTTATACAGTGTTATAGACGGTGAAACGCGTGAACGCGAATATCGTAATATTAAATAGTACGCATTTCCTTTATCTTTATGTGTTTATTGACCAAGTGTAAAATACATTAGTTTCTTCATTCTGGAAATGGAATTATTGTTATAACCACGAAAAACTTTACCACGCCACTCTTATATTTTAAACGAGACTGATTCTAGTGCTTCTTTTCATAGAAAAGTTCACAAGTTCCACAACTTGCGAATCTTTTCTCACGTTCCACAATGTCCTAGCTGTCAGCATTTAAAGTATTATTACTTTAAAAAATACGACATTATTATATCGATTGTCCGACAACGGCTTACTGTTAACACGCTACAGAATTTTATTCTGTATACATTATTAAATTACCGAGTATGTACCGTTTAAAATGATAGTTTAACATTATGGTACACAAGCCGTGATCCGAAAATAGTTTCATAGCTTTTATCAAAAATATTGCCAACAGGTTGATATCTGTTATGGGTGTCTATGCAAAGAAGGTTTTTTTCGCAGAGATATAACTAGTTCAGAATGGTAATTGTATTTTGACATTATTTTATAATGGAACAGGATTTAAGAATTTATACTTGATGCTGATAACTGGAAGCCAATAGTTTAGGTACTGTACTATATATAATATACGAGCATACACAAATGAAAACTACTTGAACAGACTACAGTTAAGTCGAACAATTTTTTCCTTGTTCATTTCTATGAATTATTCAAAGATTTCATCGACTCACGTTTATAAACTTTTAATTACTAAGTAAAACAAATTCAAATGGTTGATATCTGGTTTATTATTTGTTACATTTGAATCAGACTAATGAGTATCAAGGAAAAACAAGCAAATCGCCATCTAAGAATACATTGTACATAATATTATTTTGTATCTTTAGACTTTGATATTCATGAAGAAAAAAATATAATACTAGAACTGTCAGTATTGACTTAATTGTGCAATATAGTCAATATCTGTGTAATTGCGGTGAATTGTGCACTGTATACCGCTGTGTAAGCTAAGCATTTAATCGAAACTGAATCGCAAACAATAACCTTAACCACCACGACAATATATTATTAGAATGATGCCAAAAATCAAACAGCTTGAAAAAATTGTGGCCACTGCAGTATTCAAGCATTGTATCCAAAAGCTTTGCCTGCAGTGACATGCTTTGCTCATGCCCTCCATAATATGTGTGAAGAAGTGCGTGCACATTTCTCAAAAGTCGATGGTCTGATTGCCGATATGAAATAAACATTTTTTAAATGTCCAAAACGGATGGCTATTTTAAAAGAGAAATGTCCGGGTATTCCAAATCCACCTAAACTAATCACTACTCGTTGGGGTACATGGCTTACAGCTGCAGAATATTTTTGCACTCATTTAAATGAAATAAAAAGTGCAGTTGAAGAATTTAGAGAGAATGCCCAGTGTGTGAATGTTGTAAAATAGCTTATCAAAAATATTTCCAAAATACCACGAGGATCAACTAGACATCATACAAGCAAATTTCTCTTTCAATATTCAAAATGAATCATACAATTTAGAGTTAATAATATGTATATTGACCATGGTCCGTATATAAGTATTTGCCATATTATAACATTTTAAAAACATTAAGACGTTGACACAATTAACCAATTAAATAAATAAAAATATGTATCTGAGGTAAGTGGTAAATAACGATATATTATTATTATACATGGCAATGACACTTGTTGCCCGTTGGAACCGGAATGACACGATTCCGATAATCGACGACCACGACACCGCAAACGCACTCAACGAAATCGTTTATAATGTAATATAACCAACAACGCGGTACACGTAAAACCTGGGTATGGATACTAACATATACCATGACATGTCGTCCAAAAATTATGTACATAGAAGAAATCCCATAGTTTCGTTTCGAGAATATTTTATTATACGCTCCCAAACATTCTGGACGAACTACGTATATTAGCACGCGGGTCGGTCCGGTCGGTCGTCGTAGTACTGTTTACAATAATATTATACAGTTTCACTTTCGCGGAATGGGTAAAAAACAACTTTTACACGGCCGCGCGGCGTAAATTCTTCTTCCGTTCGTCGGCCGAGATCGTCATAACTTGTTATTATTATTATATGTGTAATACCTACGCATGCAGTATATAAAAATAATATGGCATTATTAGTATCACAAGTGTGCAACGGAAAACTAGTCATCGACATCGCTTTCAAAAATACTCAAAAATACTCCACGACAGTGAAAACGCTATACAAATAACAACAATTATTGTGATAATGATACATCACATCATGTCGTTTCCGACGAACAGCCATTAATTATAAAATATATAGACTGGCGGATGTGATATTGTAGGATTAATTATGAATTGTATCGATTAATGCACATGGTTATTGGTCATAAACTCATCATAAGTCATAACTTTCAACGTTATAAAGAAGTCTTGTAATCAAGGATAGTATTGAAACTACGGTTAGTGGGACATTTTTGAATCACAATATTATACGTTGTAATGTAATGTTTGTTTGATAAACTCCGACCGAAATCCCCGCCCTCCCAATTGAATATATATACAAGTACATCCACCGCCCTAAAAATATCAGATTACGCCACTGAGAACAAGTATACTACTGATTACTGAACTACAACAGTATCTATGCGAAATATTCCGCCGCACCTGCGACCTGCCACCTGACCATAACCGTGGTTGATCATTGTCACCAAATAACGACGACCGCGCGCGACCGGCAGCAGTCTGCGTTTACTTTCGAGCGTATTTCACGCAGTTCTTGTAGACCGTAGTGCAATCGATTTGAAACCAACGAGAATTTATTGTTTTTAGGAAGTGGACGAGCTACATTCTATTATAATAATTAATAATAATATGAAATCCGACCCACTAGTACACGCGTACTACTAGATATACACTAAATACGTCTTAATAGTAAGAACTACTAAATTATTATTAGGTATTATATTTATATCACACGCCAGTATGAATTGCGTATTTAAACAGTGTCGTAACAACGGCGACGGTTTTATTGCGTATATTTTCATTATCAAGCGGTTATTTTATTTTGCTCCACACACGAATTAAAATAACATCTCAATTTTAAATCGAGCTACCTGCTTTGTCGGTTCTTCAGACTGAACTGGTGGTAAAGTTCGAATCTTTAACGCAATTTTGGTACAAAACGCGACTGCGGTGGAAATAATAGAACAAAATAACAATTATCTGATTTCTTTGGAGGACTCAATAAAAGATTAAAATTTTAATTTTAAAGAGATTCATCGATTCGTATACATTTAGTACATGGATTAAGATATCCATTACAGTCAGAGTATCAGACACTCAGCTGGTCGGTATACTTTCAAAACACTTTGATGGAACATCACTGAATATTATAAAAATAAAAAGTACGTGTTATTTTATACAACGAAAATAATAATTGTTATTGTGTTATTATTACCTCGTCGTCGGACGGCAGCAGGCGCGCGAATCGCTTGGCGAAGAACGATGCGTGGTGCGGTAAGCGGTGAGGGGGGATGGAAAACGAGCAATCGCGGTCATCTTTACGGGCGACTGCGCGACGACGACCGTATACGTTCGCGTCACGTGCGAGGTGAAAGAATGATTTACACAAGATCGAGGTTTTGTATTAACCTTGGCGAGAGACGTCGCCGTCGTTGTCATCGTATTATTACGAAACCAATAAATATATCAAACTAATACGAATTAATATACGACAAACGGCGGCCGAGCGTGTAATATGTGTACACTGTTATTATTGTGTACTCGGATGTATATTTTATAAATCTTATTACTATTATTATTATTATTACACATTATTTATACTACGATGTGCATAATATTCACAGATTTCTGTACTAAACTAGATTAAGAACTCTGAATGCAACGAATACGCAGTAATTGAAGTATAAAATATGTAGTATTATAGAAGTCAATATTATATAATATTATGTGCGCGACATGATGTATAATTATCTTAGTGTCTTCACTCTACGATTTGCAAATACGGAACAGAAACTACGCCGTTATTATTATTACTGTTACCGGTATAAAAAAGATAAAAAAAAAAAAAAAAAATAAAAAAAAAAAACAAAAAAAAAAAACGAAAGAAAAAATAAAAAAAAAAAAAAAAAAAAAAAAAAAAAGAAAAAAAAAATAATAATAATAATACCTTATATTATAAATTATTGTAATAACTTATAAATTAGAATTTATCGAGTCGAACGCGACCGCGACGACGCCGCGAATGTTTTGTACGGAAAACAAACGACAATGGAAGTGCGGTTTGTGCAATAGAAACAGCCAATGCTCATCAGTCATTATTACGATACAATCGGGTAGTGCACTCAAAGATAATACTCAACAAGACGTATTCGTATTTTTTTACATCTTATCCGTCATCGCACGGTCGACTTAACGTAGTTACAACTGGTCATAAGGTCGTGTACTCGTGTATATTATAAGTATTATCTAAATAAGCACCACATACATTTAATCGAACGTTGATACAAATATTTTTCAAAAACAATCTTAATTCACGATAATACTATTCAGATTAAAAAAATTATTGAATTGGGAAATCGTATTTTTTTTTAGGTTTTTTACGTGAAAGGACATGTTTAAAATCTTTACCTTTGATGTATGGTAATGGAGTATCCGTGCAGAGGAAACTGTTCTATGTTCTATGAAACAACTTCACATAACCTAAAAATCAAAATAAACATCAGTTATTACCTACTAATTAATAAATAATAATTATACATAATGTATAGCACGAAATAATAATTTTATATAATATTATATTTTTTTTAACGTTATTAAGTTTATAATATTATATAGAACTTTTTTTTTTTAAGAAAACATTTGCAATCTATTTATTATTAATAATATTAAGTAAGTTTGATAGTTAGCTAATTAATTTAAGATCATTTACAGTCGAAATGGGAAGGCAGGGCCACTTGACAAGATAAAATATAAACTTATGTTTAAAATAACGTATAGTTACTGTACATAATTAATTTTTATATAATAGAAATTATCGGTTGGTCGAAAACTGGAAATTATTCAGTCGCGGAACAACTGACTGAAAAAACGTTATTTTCGCGCGAACACGTTTTTTCTCTACTAACAACCGATAATTAGGGTCAAGGCTGGAGTCAAATTACGGTTCCATAACAATTATTATTGTCGCAAAGAGATGGAAATTATTTTGTTATATTAAAACACATGCGGCGATATGATAGATACCAAACGCTATGGCGCAAACGGAAATTTTACATTTTTATAACACAACCGAATAAAAATATACATCTGTTATTAAAAACTATTAATACGAAAGCACGTGGACGAGGTGAATTCGATTTTAGTAGGACGGCTGTAAGAAATGGACAAGCATAGCTTATTTTGTATTATTATAATTTCACAGGGGTACTTTTAAAAATAAGAATCGTTCGGATGGATTTAATTTAAGTCGACCAAAAGTCGTCGTATTTTCTGCCTTGACATTCCCTAAATAATTTGTCATTAATGCGTCGGGCACATCAAGCGTATTATTACTGTAAGGGCGTCGTCCGTCCGGATAACAAGGCACGCATACTATCATTACAATAAAATGTACAAGTTTATGAGTTTATAAGACGATGAGCGTGCAATAAATGAGAGAAACGCGATCGGTATCCCTCCCAGATCTGCAGCGGCAGTGAGGGACATGCAGGACTGCTGCAGTGAGCGACGGCCAAAGACCCGGGTACGAGTAGAGCGAAATACAATTTAAAAAGAGACTGGTAGTACCGAAAAAGGCAAAATAACGAAAATCGAATATTAATTCCTCTCGACTCATAATATTTCGAACAATATATGCACATTGCGATTGTATTCGCGGAAGCGCAGGTGAATTTTATTCCGGCACCGCGTGGATAACGCGACGCGTGTATACTACTCGTTTTAAATACAACCTACTTGCATTATAATGTCATTTTCGAGTGGAAATCGTTAAACGTCGCATAAAACGAGCAACGGGCACTGGCCGGTCACACGCCTGTTTTTGCAAACGATATTATAATCAATTCGAACGGATAAAAGTCGACATCGTGCGCGCGCGCGCTTCAGGTAATGTGATACCAGGTAGTAGGTAGCGTACGGCGTACGTGTAAAACCTGTACAATTGTAAATCTACAGCAGTGTATAATAATAATACGTATATGTGCATAGCGTTCGCAAGTGTTCTACACACATTATGTAATATTATATAACAATAATAATAATAATAATAATATGCAAACGCAGTGGTAGCGGAAAATCGCTTCGTTTTTATACATATCGTGTATACTGCTGTGTAGGAGGACTGCTTGACGGCGACGGAATTTTTTCCCAGTTTTTCCTTGACGGCGACGAAGGACATAACAACACACGACGATCGATCGATCGAAGGCCTTTAAAACCGTATACACGCTCGTCACAGCAGTACGCCTGCAGCTGTGGGTAGCTGTACTCGGAACAACGTGCCCGTTCTATTTGTTAGTTTTGTTTGTTTGTTTTATACTCATCACATATTGTTATACATTATACACGTCACACGCATGACATACATTCTACGGTTCTACACATAAGACTCAAACTCGACTATAATAATTACTAAATACATTTTACGGTGGTATCCGAGAGCGCAAATTGGTTTGGGCTTTTGTACTTTAACAATGGGATAAAAAGTTCAAAATGCATAAAGCATTTTAGTTGCTAACTAACTTTTCAGCTTCAAATTGACACTCGACAAACATATCAAATGTTCAAAAACCTACTGTGTTTTTCTGTTTTAAAAACAAAATTGATCGGTTCATGTAGCACTGCCCATGTTTATAGTATATAAGTAATAATAATTAATAAATTATAAATCGTAATATATGTTATGATGCATGTTATGGTATTTTAAATAACTATGAATACTTAACTATGATTAATACAATTTAACACTAACTTGGATTTTTGATAGTTACTTTGTCTATTGGCAATTGTTATTTAAATTTGTTCGTAGTCTCGGACAACCTTGGTTCAAAATTGGAAAATTAGGTTATAAAACTGGAAACTACAATTGTTTGCACTTATGGACAATTGCCATGTAAATATATTAAAATTATAATTTATGTTTACAGGTAGGTATCCAATAGTGTGAAAAATTAAAACACCGCCGAAAAATGTCTATTATATTATAATCTCGTAGGTATAAAATGTAAAACAAGTATTATTTCTCCCTTAAATTATGTCCCCCCACCATATATACCTCCAATGGAACGGAACTGATTCTGATATAAATACTACAGTACAATATAGCACACGGGGATGGCACTATATTGGGATAATACCTACTATATTATAAACACATGATCGCACAACCGTGGATTCGAGTGTTTGTGGTAGAGGATGGGTTGTTGGTGATGCTATAGAGATCGACATTTTTCTCGTGCGGTGAAAATAATTAATATTTTATTATTTACACATAATATTAAATATACATATTGTTATTTTTATTATACGTTATAAATTAATGATATTATCATCGTCCGTTCAACTGACCCCGACAAGCGGAAACACCTTAATTACATTATTTATTATTATTATAATTATATTACATCGGAGAGTCTAGTGTGGATCTGCGAGACCGCCGTAATGCTGTCAACCAGGGCTTAGCAATCATATTATACTTATCGGTGAAAATAATTGGCGCGAAAACCAAGTGTATCGATCACACACGCATAGCCCGCACATTGTACCAATGTGTACTATTATGGGTGCGAATGACGCGTACATAGCCGTCGAGGAAAATGGTACATGTTATGTAACATAAATTGCTCATCGATCAACTAAGCCGTTAATCTTCGGCAGCCGCTTATATGTATAGTGTTACGAACGAGCGGGCAGCCGAGGTCGGCAGTGACGTTGGCATTTCAACGGGCGATTACACTGTACAAACAGAGTATTAGGTATCTACACATTACACAAAAATGTTTATTATATTTCCTCAAAATTATAAAAATATTGTTATGTCTTTATGTTTTGATTGCCCTCAAATGACACGAATGCGACGAATGAGGGTAAGGGCGGACTAGGCCAAAATAAATTAAGTGTTCATCCCTATATCAATAAATTTAAAACTGAAAGATAGTTATGTCCACAATTTGAATAAAACGGTGTTTGCGCAGTTTAAACATAAAAACAGAATGCAGATATACTAGATATATCAGGGTAAAATGGCAATCGTCAAAATAATGTAAATAGATTAAATAACGAAACAATATATTATTATAGATTTGATGCATATATAGATGTTTAGTCAAAACATTGGTGAAGTATTGGTAAAAATAAAAATTGCCATCTTACATAATACATTTTAAGATGGATCGAACTATTATGTTTTAAATTACTCGATAAAAAAAATAAAAACATATTTTAACAAATTTGAAACTTGGCAAAATGTGCTTTTGTTTAGGGCCGATATTTAATTTATATTTTTTTTGTCCTAAAAGCATGCCAACTGGATCCCAGTCCGACTACGCGTATAATTGGCGAACAGTCGTTGGTTTCTAAACGAAACATAACAACCTTGTTCGGGACACACGATGTATTTTCTTTAGTATCCTTATTATTTATTGGTGGATTATTTTGTATTTGTATTGTCATATAATATACACAATCACTGAGTATATATTATAAAGTATAAATAATTTTACGTGGTAAGTCGTAATACATAATATTATTATGTTTAAACCATAAACTGTTATTGTCAACATATATATATATATACAATAAATAATAATATTATCAATGTGCCACGTGTGCATGAAAGAAAATATCGGACAGTCGACAGTGTACCCGAACAAATTTCAAGACTGTTTGTCCCGAAGAGACGTCCCTGTTTGTTGCTGGAAAAAATAAGCGTCTTACGCACCGTGTGTACATCGCCATAATATAATATATATTAATTTATTATATCCTTGTATAAAGACAATTATAAAAGTATATCTATGCATAATAATTAGTGTTTGTTTTTCGACGCGTATAATTAATGAATTATACACCGCGTTTAAAACATTATTCACGGACACGGTTCACATTAGTGTTGTCTGCCACGCGGTATTATCCGTAACGGTCTATTCGCGGCGTTGTTTTGCTATAATTTTGCATTTGCCTATTCTGTGTGCTACGAAAAGTACATCTGAACCCCGCCCGTCCACATTTAAACGAGACACGAAATAGTGTACAAAATATTATATTGTTACAACGCGCACGGGGATGTCGTACGAAGTCGCGCACACGATAATAATAATTCAGGCGATGGTGTTGTACCGTATACGGCGTGTATAACGTTAAAAATAATAACAGAAAAGCTCGAACACGCGAACGAATCGAAAACGGCTGACCCAAATAACACGATGGTACCATAATATTATAATGTAACGTAGCGAGACATTTTTATTGCTGCCGATCGCGTTCGCGGTTAATCTGGTGCGCGGGCGGTGGCATGGCGGAAACGTCGAAACTCTCTTGTTGTTTCGCAAAACGGCGGTCGCGGATGGAGGGGAAAGGACTGCACCGCTGCGCACACATGCGACCGACGCGCACGAGTCGCGAGTGTTTATCGTATTGTTTTAACAAAAAACGGACGCACACGACACGAGCAGTTTGAACGAACATGATAGTATTACGTGTAT